GGTATGTCTTTAAATGTATCTCAAAGTCAATGCCAAACAGAACAGGAGGTTAATCCTCCTCTTAATTTGTTCGTGAAATCACTACACAGTCTACACTTGAAGTTGAACATAATCTCCAAAGTGCAAAACACATTTCTAACCGTTCTCATTTTTCTTTCATCCTAATAAGGTTACTTACATGCAAGGATTAATTATTGACAACAATAAACAGATTATAAATTTACAGTCACCAACACAGATTAAGGTCAATATGAACTATGCAACTTCAAAAGAAAACAGGTGTAGAGATCAATAGATTCTTGTAACTGATGAAGCATAATAAAATCACCAGTAGGCCTTATATTTTTTATGGACCCCCAATGTATCTGATAAGAATTTGGTTCAAAAACAATTCACAGATTCACACCAAAATAACCAGTTGATCAAAAGGTAGTTTCTAATTACTTTCAATTGGCTTTTACAAGCTGTTTTTTTTTCCCCCTAATGTCCTGTTCTAAAACATTTCCTTGCTCATAGTTACATTGCATATCCTAAAGTAATGCCATTTTATTTGGTGTCATTTCTATTTCTCCCCTTGTAAGTGGTTACTAAAAACTTAATGCATGTTTTTGGCTTCTGGTATGCATCTCTGCGTTGCCTCAGTATATGTTTAACTTTGACCGTATCGCTTTAACTCTTCGGAGGGAGAAAAAAAAAAGAAGTCATTAGACGGCTGATTTTTTTTTTTAATGTTGAATGGAACTGTTCTTTTAGATGTGTGATAAGGATGATAATACAAAATGACTGTTGCAATTGAGGATTTTTATGTATAACTGATATATGAGGAGGCAAAGAATGGTTTGCATACTTCCACTTTGGACAAAAAAACGTGGATGAAAATTGATAATGAAATAGCACGTAAGTTTGGTAAGCATTTCATATTAGACCAGCTTAAAGCAAAGGCATTGATTGAAACAATAGTGTTTGGTTGGGATTATGAGGCAAATACTGTGATGGCTGAAAAAGAAGTATGGGATTCGTATGTGGCGGTAAGTTTTGATCATAATCATCTTATGTGATATGAAAGAGTTAAATTGGTATTTTTAGATTGCAGATGAGTATTTATTAATGTTTTCTTTATAATGTCAGAAACATCCTGATGCTAAGAAATTCAAGAAATGGGGTTTACACAACTTTGTCCAACTTTCAGAGATTTTTGTTGGGACTGTTGCTACTGGATAGGGGTCAATGAATGCACATACAACCGTCAATGTTTTGAATACGGCGAAAAGGACTGCCACGCAACCAGAAGAGGAAGAGGAGGGTACAAGGGACTCGGATGAAGTCCGGGATGCAGAAACCAATAGAAGCAGACGGTCTTAGGGTCCTACTACTCGATCCAAGAAGAAGGGCAAGAAGAAGGCTACAATTTACGATGCTATAGAGGCTTTGGCAAAGAGTGCTATCCTACGCAGTGAGACATCTATTCAAAAAGTTGATTTGTTTCAACAATATTTAGCTGATAGGCAAGCCCGTACTATGGCAGCAGCCAAGGCTCAGAAAGAGGATCCTACTACAAGTATTGAAACCTGTATGGATTTGTTGAATGGGTATGAGAAGTACTTAGACGACGATGCGTATAATAAGACGGCAGAGAAATTAGCTATTGACATTTCCTTTAGGATGATGTTTGTGAAAATGCCTACTCATCGTCATCTTTCATGGATTCGAAGCCTGTAATTTATTGGGTTCTTTATTTATGTTGTTTTACTCATTTTTTTCCTCTCAGACTTGTGTTTGTTTTAAGTATTGTTGAACATACTGCTTGAATTACCTCTCAGACTTGTGTTTGTTAGACTTTAGTATTTGCTTCTAGGCGGCTTGAGTTAAATTGGAGTTCTTTATTTGATTAATTAATGCTATATGGATGTTTGATTAGTTCTGGTCATGTTTCTTTTTTTAGGTTAATATGGATTCTGATGCTACAAATAATGATATGATGATGTCACAATTGTTGACTTTCTTCACTCATCAGATGATGATGAAGAGCCACAAATTTATGTCCAATTGCTTACAGACAGACCAATTAGACAACCTCGTCGTAATTCTACGTCAACTGGACGAGAATATATTTTAGAACAATTATATGGACATCCTGAAAATCTGTTCGAAATGTGTCGTATGCACCGAGACACGTTCGAAGCAATTGTTCAGTTAATTCAAGACCGCAACCTATTGCCTTCTTCAAGTATATCAACAGAAGAATCACTAATGATGTTCTTAAGAACAATTGCTCACTCAGACCGCAATAGAGAGATACAAGATAGATTTTCTCATTCTAGAGAGACAGTACACCGCCATTTTGCTAATGTGATTATCGCATTGTCTGCATTAGCACCTGGAGTTATAAAACCACCAAATATGAACATCGTCCCCCCAGAGATTCGACACAACCCTAAGTACTAACCATAGTTTAAGGTACAATCTAACTATGCTCATAAACTAATAATAAGACAAATAATTGTAAATTAATCCTAACTCACACCTTATGTATTTTAATAGGATTGTATTGGTGCAATAGACGGTACGCACATAATGGTTGTCCCACCTGCACATTAACAGACAGTCTATAGAGGAAGAAGACATTTGTGTACTCAAAATGTAATGGCGGCGTATAGTTTCGATATGCTATTCACTTACGTCAATACCGGATGGGAAGGATCAGCTGTTGATTACAGAGTGTTAACTGGGACTATGAGAGATCCAGAGAACCAATTCTTGGTGCCACCCAACCCAAAATATTACATTGTGGATTTCGGTTACAGCAATACGCAAGCCTTTTTGACACAATTTCGTGGTCAAAGGTACCATATTCAACAGTTTAAAAACAATTGCCAACCAACGGGACCACAAGAGTTATTCAATTATTATCACTCTTCACTGCGTAATTGCATAAAAATGTGCTTTGGGGTCTTGAAAGCAACGTTTAAAATTCTTAGGCTTATGACTAATTACTGGATGCCAAGACAATCGCTTATATTAATTGCTTATTGTTTGATCCACAATTTAATTTAGATGCACGCGCGAGATGATCCTCTATTTAGACAATATGATGTTGATTCGCCCTTAGAAGATATTGAGGGAGAACAAGAAGGGCAACAGGGACAACAACAGGGTATGGACACACAAGAAGCAGAAACATCCGAAATGGGTGGTCGGCGATAACGTAATCACATTGTTAATTTTAGGGATCATCTAGCTGATCAAATGTGAGATTCGTATATACGACAGTAATATAAGCTAAGATTATTCACTAAGTAAACTTCTTTTTTACTAATCAATCACTAAGTAATCTTATTTTAAATTATTTACTATTTATTTGTAATGTAATTTAAATTATTTTATTAATTATTAGTGTTTTTATTTAGGATTCAATTATTATTTATTTAATATATTATTATTTTAAAGATTATTACATGTTTTCAAAAATTAAACCACCAAACGCAATTTCAGTTTTTTTTTTTAAACTGAAATCAATCTCTGAATAAAACTATCAAACGCATTTTCAAAAATAATTTCAAAATGAAAATGAAAACGTTTTCATTTCCATTTTCATACAGAAAACAAAATCATTTTGGAACGAGTTCCAAATGCACCCTTTATCGACACAAAGATGGTAAGAGTACAATTCTTATTATCTATGTGGATGACATAATCTTAATAGGAAATGATGCAGTGGAGATGACAAGGTTGAAGACTAGACTAGCTGTCGAATTTGAGATTAAAGATCTTGGATCTCTACGGTATTTTATTGGTATGGAGGTCGCCAGAAGCAAGATTGGAATCTCAGTCACCCAACGGAAGTACATTCTAGATCTCTTAGAGGATGTTTGGTTTATGAATTCAGAATCATGATTCAGAATAATTCTCGATTTGCGTGTATTTTTTGTGAGAGAAAACACTGTAGCGAGCCACGAACCATGATTCGAACCATGACACGAATCCTTGAACCAAACGCACTCTTAAAGGAAACAGGAATGCTCGGTTGCAAACCAATGGATACTCCAATGGATTCCACAATAAAGATTGGTGACAAGGAATTCCGGTTGATACTGGGAGATACCAATGCCTAGTCAGAAAACTCATCTATCTCTCTCACACCATACCTGATATTGCTTTCGCAGTTAGTGTTGTTAGTCAGTATATGCATGCACCCTGTGAAGAGCACATGGAAGCTATGTTTCGGATCCTGAAGTATCTTAAAGGTTCTCCTGGTAAAGGACTATTATTTAATAAAAACTCGTCAAGGAGTATAAAGGGATTCACTGATGCTGATTGGGCAGGTTCCATTAAAGATAGAAGATCCACTTCCAGCTATTATACATTTGTATGGGGCAACCTAGTCACATGGCGAAGTAAAAAGCAAAATGTGGTGGCTCGAAGCAATGTTGAAGCTGAACTTAGGTGTCCACAACTGGTAAGACACAGTTGGAAACATTAAATCACATTAAAATTGTATACTAATAGCCAGTTTTGACTTTCCTAGTTTATAGGGATTTAGTTGTTATTAGTTTCCTGTTTCTGTTATAAAAAATAAGGGAAGTTATTTTCCTCGTATCTCTCTCTTAATGGGAGGTTTTATTCCCTAATTGATGGGGATTTTACTGTTTTAGTTTGTTTCCTTTTTTGTGGAGATTCCTTCGCAGATTTGTCACCAAGCTTCTCTATAAAAAAGGGTTTGTATTCACTGATGAAATAATAAGAGAGAATGCCTAATTCCTCAATTCCACAAAAATCGTACTAGATTAATATGAAAATCATGACAATACAAAACTCAATGAAAATCTAACAGTTCAGAACTGTGCCTTTCCCATAAGTTTTTTCTTGTTACCCTATCGAAGAATTCTCCTTCTTTCAGTTATATCCAATACTTTTATGACATGCATTCTTCTATGCATGTTTGTATAGATTTCTTGCAGCTTATCAAATATAAAGTATCAGACAAAAATAAGAGTATTTACCAGAACGAACATCATCACTGATCTGGCCTCTTGCCTTGATTTGATTTATTAGCATGCGAATCATCAATAACCACCAATAGACATGACAAACGAGCAAACTGAAAAGAAGTGTATTAAACAGATAGTAGTATGTGGAACATGATACCATCTGCTTCTCCTTGTCCAATACCAAAACAACTTCATAGCTGCCAAAAAAAGATTTGAAGCAAAGACTAAATTACTTTTATTAACAGAATAATAGAGCAAACACCCCAATATCCGATGCTGATTTATGACAAGAGTCCAGTTACTGTAATAGGATGCAATTTTGTTCCTGAAAAGTAAACTAACCTTGTGCTCCAAAGTATCCAGAAAGGGAAGTAAATAAGGCGAAGGACGGTCCATGAGAGAACAAAAATGACGAAGAAAAATCCGGCAATCCCTTCATAGCCACAATACTTTGACATCTTTGCAACTTCTAAAATCACATCACTTCCTTCATGGAGGGCTAAAATGACTGAACCTACACGAGCAAACCTGAAAAGTCGGCCAAAAGAAATCGTTCAAACATCTTGGTATGTATTTGAACTCTGCTTTTTTCTTTTTTCTTTTTTTTTTTACTAACATTAAAAGATAGTATCATCCCCTGGAAGCTTACGACTTGAATCGAGACTCAAAAACATTGAAAACAACTCGTACACCCACTAATCACCAACTGAGCAAGCCTGTTCTGAACTCACCTAAATATGTAAGACAAAAAGATTAAAATAACAGTTGCTATGTGATGAGCCATTGATACATAAAAGTCGGAGCGCCTTGTTTCCCAAAACACCAAAGCAAAGCTTGAGTAAAGGTAGAATCCTCCAGCATATAGATATAATCCTTTCAATTTTGCTCTGCCAAAAAACGTGACATAAAGAATCATTATCAAGAACATCAAATTGAGATAGCTCCACTACTGTGGACAGGAAAAAAGGATTTGAATAATGTCGAGTCAGGGGACGAACTTAATTTTCTGTTCTGGCCAAATTTGATCACCAGGCCCTTCCCATAAGTACTTGGTGTTAGTGAACCATGGTTCATTATAAGTAACACCAAGAGCTAGAATCTCTGCTGATAAGAAATATACACATTTCCATGCAGATTCTTTGAACTTGTTGACTATCTTCTTGTTCTCATGGCTCTTAAAGTTCAGCTTGGAATGCTCTTTTCCAAACATCAAGCGTTTTGCTAATCCCTGCACCAAAAATAACCATGTGATTAACACATGATAAAATGCAGAAGAAATTGATAATTCAAACAAAATATGCGCATTTGGCAAGCTTGCAATGAATACAGAAAAATTATCAATGGAGCACAGAATACCAAAATTGTCAATGTACCCATTTATCTATTTTACCACTTAATACCATATATACCATCATCATCATCAGAATGTAACACAAATTTTCTTGAAAGAAATAGAAAAGAAAAAAATTATGAATATTAAACACATTAAAAAAAGGAAAAAAGAAACCCGATTAGAAAAGCCCCCATAACATAATAACAAACACAAAAACATATACCAAATCAGAATTAGAACAATTTTGCTTTTAGTAGGTCGTCGAAATTGATATGAACATCTATGGACCCCACAGAAAGATCTTAATCATTTCTTAGTAATATGATAATTCTGGCACTACTTGCAGTACATAATCGAAACTATACAGCAAGAAAAAAAAAGAGACAAAAAACACATCAACAACAACAATATAATGCAGAAAAAGAAAAGTAGAATAAATAAAGCTAGAAAAAAAAAAAGTGAACCTCAAAGACATATCGGTCGAGAAAAAGGCGAACAGAAGGGAAAAGGAAAGCAAAGAAGGGAAGGAACAACAAGTCTTGGGCAAGTGGATGAGATTCAGTCTCCAAATTGATCCAACCAGAGATTCCAAACAGACCCATTTGTCTTTTCTTTTTCCTTTTTTTTTGGAAGAAAATAAATAATTTGGTGAAGTTACAAGAAAGATCAGTAATGGTGGATTGATGGGGTTGTGTGAAGAACACACATGAAAGATTATTGACTTTTAGAGAAAACAAGAAAAGCTGGCGCTTTGGACTCAGTTTTTGGTTGGGTTTTTGTTGTAATAATAGCACATGCAATTCTGGATAGGACCCGGATGAAATGACCCATCTCCACTACGCATTTAATATTATTAATTCCTCCTTGTACCTGTTTGACTTGGAATATTGAGCAAAGCATAAAAAGTTATGAGTGCGTTTGGAATAATTTTAGACTTGTTCTTTTAGAATTTAATTTGAGTATAATTTTTAAGTTAAATTTAAGTTATAATTTGAGTTAAATTTGTAACTTGAGTTTGTATTTGGTTGTGTACATTTGAGTTATGGTTTGAGATAAGAATCTTTTTGAGTTTGTGTTTGAGTGAGTCAAAACTTAAATTTATATTTAGATAGTATTTTAATAAAAACTCAATGCTAATGAAAAATTTTAATATGGTATATGTGTCGGGTTTTATTCGTATTTTCGTTGTTAATGTATAGAAAAAAAAAATCATCTCAATCAGAATTAAAATGAAAAAGTTATAGCATTTTTAAGAATAGAAAAAATATTGTTTATTAATTTGAGTTCGAGTTTCTGAACTCGAGTTGAAAGAGAAACTTGAACTCGAGTTTTAGTCCTAAACTTGAGTTTGAACTCGAATTTAAACTTAAAAGAACATGAACTCGAATAAAGTTGTAACTCGAGTTGCATTTTTTTGAGTTTTTCACTCAAAAGAACAAGCCCTTTTATTTTTTGTATGAAAATAGAAATAAAAATATTTTTAATCTCAGATAGAAATTATTTTTAAAAATGCGTTTGGTAGTTTTATTAAGAAATTATTTTCAGTATAAAAAATCAATTAATGTCTCTCTCTCTCTGCTCAAGAGAGGAGAAAACGGAAACAAAAAATGAAAAACGACTAAAAGTCATTTTTCATTTCTCTCTCATTTTACACTAAATCAAAAAATCGTTTTTAATTTCATTTTTTATCTTTAATTGTGTCAAACGCCGTTTCATTTTTTCTTTCTCAAAAAACGCGAAAAACAAAAACAAAACCAACTCTAAACAGGGCCTTTATGTTCTGTCTCTGTCTTTTTAGTAGAGATGTTAACTGGACCAAGCCATTTATAGAGCACGACGGGATACGACACAAGTAGAGCAGAAATTTAAGTCGGTTTGAGGTTTATCACTGTTAGTCCAGTCTCGATCCGTTTAAGTATACGGATTTGATTGAACCGCTTAAGTGTTTGGACCTAATCAAGCCGACCGGTCAGGCTGAGTTTTTAAATCTTGGGATGGTAATGAGTACAACACGAATTTTTTAAGACACGTTCATTTCATCGATTCGAGTTTTGTTACGGTAAAAAACACTCAGAAACAATCATATCTAAATTTTTTTACTATAGTAAAAAACTCTCAAATAAAGTCACATCTCAACTCGAATTAAAAACTCGAATCAGTGAACTAAACGGACCATTAGTGTGCTAACAACATATCAAAACAAAACAAGCTTTGACATTAAGCTTAGATGAATATACAAGAACAGAGTCGACATTATACGACATGATTGATATCTTTGGTTTTTAGTCCTTCTATTTGGGGATTTATATGGTTATGATTGGGAACACTTGTACTTTGTTTTGGATAAATTTAATTGAATATATAAAATTAGGGCTTGCTTTTAGACTTCAATAAGAGGGTTATCTATACTGTAACATATAGATGTAAGAAGTGTAATATGACACATGATCTATTATTGTAATGATATTAAAGACTGTTTGGATTAACTTAAAAAAATTATTTTTGGCTTATCTAGTTCAAAAACTGCTTTTGAACCTATTGGATGGACAATTTTAAAGTACTTTTAATTTTTTTAAGCACTTTTAGAACAAGTCATCTCCATAGTGCTTATAAAAAAATGTTTATAAAATGCTTTTTTATTTACATTTTTAACATTTTATTTGTGAATAACAAATTAAATATCTCATTCGTATCTTTTTATTATATTTTTTTATAACTATAAATGTTTTTGACTTTTTTATCCAAACAAATTAAAAGCTCTTCTTAAATATAAAATCATTTTTTTAAACACTATTCAAATACTAATTAAAAAATCTCGATTTATACTTATATTTTTTTACTATTTAAAAGTACAAACACAAGTTATTTCAAACGGGTCGTGAAAGTAGGACATTTGTTTATTATAGGTTAATTCCTTATTGCTATAACTTTCAAGTGTAATATTACTCTTCGTTTCTAACATGTGGAATAGTTTCATGTCAATGACTGATGCCTGACGTATAACATTATGATTACTCAAAACATATACTCTTAATTATTACAATATTGTCTCTAGCGGCCTAATGACGAATTTACTTTTCTGTTTTGTAGAAGATGTTCCAAAGTATAGGGCATTAACATGATATGAGTATTGCGATGAAATTGATGCCAAGGGAACGCCTTAGTATATTGATAGAAATTATGATTAAATTGATGTTTTGTCCCTGTGCAGAATTAAACAAAAAAAAAAAAAAAAAATTGAAGGTTCAGTGATGACTAGAGCCTCATGTTTCTAGGAGAATTAATGGTCGAAGTTTCATTGAGGTTATGATAAAAAAGAGAGGAGACAATTATACTTTTAGAGTGTATTGATTCTAAATTTTTATCATTTATTCTTAATTAGATGTGTAAGTTTAGGCCGTTCAGATCAGCGGCCCGAAGGAAAGTTTAGACCCAGCCCTACAAGAGAGAGTCGGCCCAACCCAGCTCGACCCTAAGCCCAAAAAGTTTAGGACCGGTCCGGCCTGGTCTAGAATTTTATAAGGTATTTAAAAAAAATTAAAATATAATGTTTGGGCCGGCTCGGCCTGATTCGGCCTTAAAGGAGAGAGAATCGGTTCAGCCTGGCCCTAAGCCCAAAAAATTTAGGATCGGGCCGGGCCCGAACCAACAGTGGTGGGGCTCGGGCCGGCCCATTTAAGTCGGCCCAAACTTCCAGCTCTATTCTTGATTAATATATCCTTAGTCAAATAATTATATTAGTCAAAAAGATATTAATCAAGAGCAATGAGTAAAAATCACGACTCGTGCACTTTTAAAGGTAAGTTTAATAATTCTCTTTTTTATTTAAAATAAAACCTTTACAGTATTCATCCTGAAGGTAAAAGACTTTTTACTAAGTTTGGTGAATTTGAATATCTTATGTAGTGTGATTTTTAAAATCGTGACTAAAGCAATGGGGAATAGGTTGAAGATGCATCTAAATGATATCAGAGTTTGACTTGAAAATTTCTTAAGATCGTGTTTGGGAGGTTCGGTCTGCATTATCGACAGATTTCTTGAGTTCTTAAATGTGTTAAGACTGCCTCATTCACTTTGTTGTTGAATGGTAGTCTGGCAAGAGTTTGTTGCGGAAAGAGACGTTTGGCAAGGTGATCCACTCTCACCTTGTTTATTTTGCATAGTGTTCTCTAAGATGCTCTTTAGATCTTCTGAGTCTGGCAAGCTTAAGAGTATGAAGCTTAATTTCCAGAGGGGTTCCGAAAGTAAATCATGTCTCTTCTATGGATGATCTTATGCTATTAAATAGAGCCTATCTAGGAGTGAATCAAACTATGCACGATTGTCCTAGATAAATCTTTCATTTCTCTCGAAAAATATGGACCGAGGAGTGGCTAGGTCTATCACTAACTATTCGGGCGTTAAAAGGATGAGGGATAATTCAAAACACTTGGGGATACCCTTATTTTCTTCTAATCGCTTGCTTTAAATTTCTGAAATCCTTCGGATCAATCTTATTTTCATGGAAAAAAATTAATAAAAAACAAAATTAGAGAGTAATTTATTAATTTTGTTGTCAATTTTGTTGTAGTGAAAAAATAAATATATAAAAATTTAGAGAGTAATTTATTAAAATTAAAGATTCATATATTAAAATGTCATAACGCTTATAATTGATGGTGGACTAATAATATTAATAACTGTCCTTTTAAATGATGCAATGAATAGTTGCTCGATGCTAAAAGTTTATCTTAAAAAAGTATTTAATTGAAATTGAATTAATCTTAAAAAAAAAAAGAATTGGATTGTTAGAGCTGGATTAGGAGACCAATAGTTTATTATTTGATTTCTGAGGTTAGTCACATCATGGATAGGCAATCATGCCTTCAGGCTGTATGGTAAGATATTTGGATGGAACATGGAAGTATGTTACCAACTTTATTTATTTATTTATTTATTGCTAATAAGAGAATTATTAAGTGTTTAATATGAGTATTCGTATCATGGTTTAAATCATGGTTCGTAGTTTGTTATAGTGTTTTCTTTTTAAAAAACACACGTAAACTGAAAATACTTCTGAATCATGATTCTGAATTCATGAACCAAACGTCTACTAAGTGTTCCATCAACTAAGTTAGTTGATTAAATCCATTCTTTTTGCAACACTAATCACAACTCAAATTTTTTATTATAATATTTTCTTTTAAAAAATTTCAAATCAACTTTTTATTATAATATTTTCTCTTATGTAAATTATTTTTTAACTTAAATTTTTAACCTATTCTAAAAAAAGGAGGTCTTTAGTCTTTTAAATGGACAGAATTGATGTTGCAAGTTCGGGCGGCAGGAATACCAAAAATTTTCGGGCACGGCGGGCAGGTGTCATTCGCCGTCCGTCCATGGTATTTTTCGGGCACGGGCTCAGACAGCCCGAAAATATTCATTTCCCTGATTGCCTGCCGCCGTGGAGAAGTCGTCCCCCGCCGTCTGTCGGATTATTTTTTGAATTTTCCGGCGTATCCCGAATGTGCTCGAAATTGCCCGAATTTTTTTGACCGTTGCTCGAATTTTGCTCGTGCCCGAATTTTTTTTACCGTTAGCCCGAAATCCGCCCGAATTTTGAACCCAATGGATCTTTTTGCCCGAACCCGACCCGCCGCCCAATTTTTTCCCGAAAATTCGATCCCAACAGCTATATTTTTTACCGTTGCCCGACCCGCCCGATTGCCCAAAAATGTTACTAGTTGTTGGACCTGAATTTTTGGGGGAAAAATTTTTTTTTTCAAGCCAAAAATTTTCCTATAAATACCCCC